AAAACAATTACTTTAGTTTTATTTTTGTTTATTTGAAGAAAATTCTGGCACATCCAATCATTGATTGGTTGAAAGGACTTACTTAGTGCTTGAATGGGATTATAGTGGTGATATGTTAATCATTTATATAATGTGTGTCTTGCCTGTACAATTATGGTAAGATATTTTGTTATTTTCCATAATCTGAGCAAGTGGGAGCATGTAAATGTTACAAAGGAGGCCCCAGAATGGAGCCTTGAAGAACTCCGCAGGACATTTTTGTCCGCTCAGATGTGTAATTACCTAGAAACACAAAGTAGTCCTTGTCCTTCAAAGTAGGATTCAAGCCAGTTTATTTCTGTGCCAGAGAGTCCCACCTGTTTTTTCCGTCGATTGTGTAGAATGCACAACAATTAAATCCAATAATACTAAGACTGAAATTCTACCACTGCCGTATTTAAGTGGCTGTCAGTGAAGACCTTAACAAGAGCAGTCTAGTGTTCTGGAGGAACCTAGCCAAAAAATGGACCCATGTCCTTGATTTAAGAGAGAACTGTTACAGTACTGTATTAATTCTTCATGTACAAGTCTAGAAAAATGAATGATGAACTTGGATAGTTTTTTGTCTTGGCATCATGCAGACTCTAAGTTGTTGTACTTTAATAAAACAGTTACAGTGACAACCAAACCAAACTACTTGTGGTTGAGATGTTGAATATCCACTGCCAGCAACTGTTAGTAGCCAAATGTACTCACACCGGCAGGGTGGCTCTAGGAATAAAATCTGGAAGAGACATGGTCCCCAGATGATGATCTCCTGACCTTTCATCTAGCGCTGTCATATTTTTTGGTTTATGACCAAATACCTGCAAAACAATGCAGTAAAGCCACACAGCCACACAGAACAGACAAAATAGATTTTGTGGTAAAGGTAATACCACCTTCATTACAATTACATCATGTTTAACTTGCTAACTTGCATGCTCACAGCCAGCACCCCTTAGTTTTTTGTTTTTTTTACACAAAATAAAAAAAAATAAAAAAATAAAGAAAAAGCTAAATTCAGAGAACAAAGAAAGAATGCATATTAAAGTCCGAGCTCTGGAAAGTAACACATTAGCTTGGTTAAAAAATGCAGTAAATATTGCATTTTAAAACCAATTCTGTCAGTAGAGACGAAAAATACATGTACAGTAGTTTGCAGTACAGCACAAACAACATAATATCATAGGCTCATGTCAAAATTAGCTCCAACAATCAGGACACGAGGGACATTAAAGCAATGCAGAAGATGGGATCAGCAAGTCCCATCAATCATTCATGACAGCAGGCAGGACTCTGGCACCGTGATGGATGACAGCGGTGAAATGAGACAGAGAGGAATGCACCATACGTCCAGCTTGTCACACTAAGTTTATACTGCCACACATCAGTGCTTCCACCACTTCATGATCAGCGTTAGCAAAGACTGCTCCAAACAGTGCAGTGCAGCCTATGCATGAAGATGGTGCCATCAAATGTTGGAGAAATTAATGGTGGTTGTCCTGTCTTCGCATCACATCATATGCACCCCACAACTCCATGATTTCATGAATCATCTATCACCAGTTTGGACCGAATAAAAAAATAGCAATACATAAACAAACACAATTACCTCTAAAAAGCAAGCTTTTGACATCTACGTAATTTTCCCACAGCACATACTTAATAGTGAAACATGCAGACACACGAGCTACAAGCCCAAACTGAACAATTTACTTGCATGTGATCATGTGAAAGGGTGTCTGTCACTAAGTAGTCAGTACGGAAAAGTGCTGGAGGTAATGAGAGTGCAATGACTCCTGCTGTTAATATAAAATCCCCCTGTTAAATTTAGTATGAAATTAATGGAAAACAAAGTTTTTCCTCCCCATCATCCCCATTTGATTAAATTGGAGACAGGACGGACAACATGAGGTGCTGCTGAGCTGCAGCAGCAGTCACACAAGGACAACATTAACATTAAGCGGCTTTGTAAAAGCAGAAGCAGTCAACATTGTCAAAATTACCAGGTGGTGATAATTGCACTGGGAGACAAAAATAGTTTGCTTTAAGCAGGATGCTGTCACTGAAAGCAGCTGTGTGGAAAACAAGTCAGAGGCAGACATCCTGGGCTGTCCTGTGTCGCCACCAGCCCAATAAACTGACCACAGTGATCGACATGCTGTTCTTCACACTGTTAAAGTCTTCATGCTCCAGCACGCAAGTGGCATGAAAAAGCCATTGCTCTAGCAAACGTAGCTGTTGGATGGGTCGTAATTTTAGCAAAAGTGAAATTCATAAAAACTAGATCATTTAAATAATGTCTTTATATAAAAAAAAAATGTTTATTTGTTGAACCAATTAAATGGTAGAAAATCACATTTATAGCCACGCTAGGGGCATGTTGGTCGGTTGGACCACTGGCAATTTAAGTTCATACAGATATTCATGGTAAAATAAACCCTAATGATTTTGGTGATCCTCTGACTGATCTAGCATCAAAATTTGAATTTGTTCAATACTTTGGTTTAGGACCAAATACATGCAAAACTAATGGCTTGCTCATGAGCCTCAGCTATACTTTGTGTTTAGTGCTAATTAGCATATGTTATGCTAAGATGACAAAGATGGCAAACATTAAACTTGCTAAACATTAGCATATTAGCATTGTCATGGTGAGCATGTTAGCATTTAGCCCAAACCACTGCTGTGTTCAACGAATCGTCCAAATTAAATGACAAAGTGCAACAACACACTGAGGAGTGTACACAATTGTGTATAGTCCTTCAAACAATTTAGGGAACTTGTGTCCAATGATGATTCTTATGTACATCCTTAATTAACACATAGAAATACCATGTGGCTGCTGGTACTCGACTACATTCCTTACTTTTTTTCAACAGTTTGAGGAGAGTGCTCTTTTTCAGGTCAGATTTAATACATTTAAGTTGCATTTAAAGCTTCTAAAAAATCACAAACAAATGTCCTTGTGACCACCTGTCACAAGGACATTTGTTTGTGATTTTGACCTCAAGGATTTGATGAGAAATATAACAAACGTCAGAAAACAAAAAAGTGTTTGGGCTCTACTTAAGTACGCTTTTCTTTTGCCGACATCCATCACAAAATAGGGCTGCGGACCAGTACAAACTTACAGCATATAATTCAATTCAAAGAAGACCTTATTCTTCACCCAAATAGACTGTTGGCTAGACAATCACAGCAGTAGTTTGATGGCTCATTGTATTCAAACAGTAATTATGTCCTTAAAATACAGTATTCGTCTTTCAGCAAGAAACCCAGCCCTGTCTTCATTCTCATTCAGTACTAGCTCACTTCCACTGCTATGAACACATTTTAGGATTTATATTCCAGATGAAATGTGCAGTAAAGTTGTTATCATATCAACAATCACAAACCTATGTTTACAGTTCTTCTTTAAAAACTATTTGTTTTGGCCTATTTTTGCTAAATCTGATGATTTTTCAACAATATCTTGTTTTTCAACGGTAAACTACATTATTTAACTAAATGTAGCTGCAGACAATCAGACGTTTCCCATAAAGTAAAACAGGTGGGTGCACTTGTGCACATGCAGGTTAGGCCGCATACATTAAGTTATCTTCTGTTCATGGTTTAAGTGTCTGGGTAGAAGTTCAGTTTTGGGCAGACATGACTCATTCATAGCCTTTAACTGCCAGACAGTCAATAAAATCACCCCACCAAAACTGCAAGGAAAACACTGTGTGGTTCCTATTGTAGAGACAGAAATAAAACTAATTACTATTAAGAAGATACCATTTGTTTTACTTTAACCCAGGGCTAGGCAACAATTTAATATTAACAGTGGAATGATACTCTGGTGATACGATCAGATTGTAATTAATTCCAATAAATTTGGATTGTAAAGTTAGAAAATCAGTTGGGTTTATTGTATATGTGTGAGTTTTGTCTTGTGTAATACGTAACACTTGGAACACAGTTCATTGTGTGTAATCATATGTTACATTAAATCTATTCAAGTAGCCTATTATAATCTTACTCTAAAACAATATACTTATATACAGTATAAACTTCATGATGATCAGTCTCTGTGTCGCAAATGCCAATGTAGATTCCCTAGTATTGTGAGTGCATTCATTTCTAAATACTTAAGTCTAGTCTGCCACCTGCTGGCTCTTTTGTGGTAAGCTTTTAAAGAGATAGCTGTGAATTGTGATAGAAGTGAACGTCTCATTGAATTGAGTGTATTGAATTTACATTAAAAATGGAAGTAAAATTTACCAAGTGTGTGTAGGAGACACCCACAGATATCAGAGGTACATTAAGTGCATCAAACTGCAAATCAAATTAATTTTTAGTATATTTTTACACTACAAGCAACTCTTTCTCCTATCCTGGCATTGGCCCAGAATGACGGAAGAGGAGAAGAAAAGTCACTTTAGGACAGTGCCAGGCTCCACATCCATCAACAAAAGACTCAGACTCTGTAGGCTTAATAACAAAGTTTGACAAAAACCTTCTCCGTGTGATTGCCGGAGCCAAACAACACTGTCAAATAAACTGACAAACTAAGAAAATTCACACTGTACTTAATAATATATCATTATATTTTTGTTAATAGTTGAGCTTAAAGAGTCATTCTTTGTCTTGCACACAGCAGCTTGAAAAACAAACAACTACAACTACTATACAAAGGCACGTTTCTGAAGATTTCAGCCACCTCTTGTGGCCTTCCTCAGAGGTGCTCAATTGCCTTTGAGAGGGTTTAGTTTGGAAGTTAGTCAAATATAATAAATGAAAATAATTGTAATAACATTGTATTACTTTTTAAATTGTGACCGCATGGATTTCTATTGAAAACGTTACACTGAGTGTAGTATTGCTGCTTTTACTTAAACAAACGACTTAAATTACCTCATTTCCATCTTATTAAGCCGCAAGCAGCCGTCAGCGACGCGCATGCGCAGCGGAGAGACGGAATGTTCTGGTTCTCGCCTCACGGAAGTCTCGCGCATATTTGGCAGCCACAGAGGCGCAACCAAAAGCACCGACAGCGACTGGAGACGAGAGGGCAACCGACCGACCGACCGACGGCCCTTAGGCTGAGCTGATTTGTTTCTCGAGGAAGGAAGCGTCGATTAATAAAATGACCAGTGGGTATCGACATATATTTTGATTGTAAGGCATTCATGTACTTAACTGGCTTGCATGTAGTCTGTGGTCCTTGTTGTTGCCGTCTGTTAGCCATGGCCTCCTCCGACCCGGGCTCCGTCTATCTGCTGAAGCAGACGTAACGTTTCTCTTCTTCTGAATTCATGGCAGTGTTGTCGCGTTGGTTCATAAAGCTCTCGCCCCGCTGGCTGTGCTGTCTTTAGTGGGCTTTAGTGGAGGGGACGGGCTGTGCTGCAGTGTGTGCCACGTAGCTCGCCGAGTATCACATTGTGTAACGTTGTAGGTTAGCCAGTGGGCCATTTTGTTGTTCAGCTATTAGTCAAAGCCTCGGCCTACTGTGAAGCCACAGTTAGCAGAGACATAACACGGGCATTTTTGTGTCAACACTGCTGCCAGCAGACAGACTGCGAAGTCGTTAATAGTAGTTTTTATTGCCTCAAACGTGGCTCACTTCTCTCTTTATTTTCTGCATCGACAACCCGTTAAGGATGGACTCTGTGCTGCTGTCTCTGGGCACGAAGCTGCTCCGGAGCGCCCCTCTGCCACGTCGGCTGCCTTCATGTTTTGCACCATTTTTATTTGTGCCATCACACAGTCGTACTGAATGTGAACTGATCGTCTGTCACTCACAGTTATGGTTTGTTGCCGCTTGTAAAGTGCTTGTTGTTGTTGTTGTTGGTGGTGTTAATGCTCCCTGTTTTTGTAGTATTTGGGTGTAGCTCACATACCTGAGGTGGTGCTCATTAAAGTGCCATTTGTTGTTGTTACATTGTCTGTTTTTTTTTCTTTTGTCCGACCTGCAGGAGGAAACCAACGTGAGCTTGCACGCCAGAAGAATGCCAAAAAAAACAACGATCAGGGGAAAGGAAAGAGGGGCGATGATGGTCTGTCTGCGGCTGCTCGCAAGCAGAGGTAGGCAGCTGGAGGTTAAAGAAACGGGACGCACACAACTCAATGGATTTTATGCAGCACTTTGTGTTTTATCATGACTTGAATGTGGGGCTGTAGGGACTGTTCCTCTCCTTTACACAGTTATGTATTTTCTGTCACATAGAAGCAAATTCTTGAGCTCCTCATGTTACCAGTGCTGAAAATAATCACACTGCATGTTTGTAAAAACAACAAACACAAGTAATTTAAAGTATATGGTTGTGTGTTACAGTAGAGTCTCCCCTAACAAAGTCTGTTCTCTGTCAATGTCCCTTTCTCTCCAAGGGATGCCGAGATAATGCAACAGAAGCAGAAAAAGGCGAATGACGGAGGGGACGGAGGGAAAGGAGCGGACGGAGGAGACGGAGGGAAAGGAGGCGCCAAGTCCAAGTGAAGAACGACGTCGGAGATGAATTCAACTGAATTCAACTCAAGTGTCTCAATAACATCCCATGTTCAGCATTCTTCCTGATATTTATGAGAACGGATCTGTCATTTTTGTCTAGACTCAAGAATCTAGGATCCTACATTCTTCCCTATGGCAAATGACATTGCTTATTGGATTTGTTATTTTACTTGGTGAAATTATGTCTGAGCAAGTTAGCAGTTGTCCCACTTTTGTGCTGCATGCAGAGGAGCATCAGTGGTGTAAGCAGTTGGAGAAAGATGAACAATTCTTGACACAAAGCATCCACGTAAACAGTTGCGTGTTTTTGTACAAAAATGTCCCCAGCCGGTTTTAAATAAAGTGTATCTTTTTAGTTCATGCTTGCTTGAGTTATTCTGATTGTTGGAGTTGGAAGACAGTTTGTGTATTATTTTCACATGATGTGTATTTCTGTTGCACGGGCATTGAATGGCCAACATTAACTTTGTAGTTATGTTAGTTACATCTTGTAGCACTTTTTTTTTTTTTTTGGCGTAACATTCAGATGCAATTTATTGAAAACTTTCTATGGCACGGGATGAGGAATCATTGGTAAATAAACTATTAATAGCTATTCCTCAGTGTATTCTGGTATTTGAATAATTTGACTTCAGTTTCTCACAGATAGAAATGTGGTCAAACTATTAAAAAAATGTATTGCAAATACTATACTATATACTGCAAATGCCTACTGCAAACAAAATGTTAAACAATATAGCAGTGATAAAATATAATTTTACCCTTAAAACCAGGTGAACCTTCCTGGTACACAAATACCAGGAAGGTATTGCTCATGCCCTCTTTCAATCAATGGTGTAATCAGGCTCTGCAATGTGTGCATCCCAGGAAAATACAGTAGGCTATTAGGAGCACAATAATGTACACAAATGAATACAGCACACCAGAAGATCTTCATCCAGTATTAACGTCACGGATGGCACACACTGAACAGTTAACCAGCCTATCTAGGTGCAGTCTGCAACAGTGGTCGGCTGAGAGGAAACTTGGCATACAATTCACATTCAGTAGTACATGCCCTTTGCATATTTATATTAGTAGGACAGAATAGCTCCCATTTTCCATAAATAGCACAAGATCCTTCCCACATAACTTGGTGGTTAAGAAAGGGATACATCTGTGTTCTGTCAGTGTTGTGTGACACTGGTGTCTGCCAAATGTACTGTAATTAAACCAAGAGTTTCAGCAGACATTATAACACTGCCGCAGCATTTGGACCACTAGGTGGAAGCATACACCAAGGTATTTTTTCAACTGTATTCTTACTGGGCAGCACTGGATCTATCAGAATGGCTGATTTTGATTATGGCGTTATTGTGCCTTCGCTCTGCTTAAGCCAGTCACAAGAACACACAGTAAGGAGGTTGAGGGGTCAATGCGACATTTAAAAGTCTTTTGAGGTGAAAAGGGGCTTTGATTTAACATGTTATTTGTACTATTGAAATGAAGCAAAGACACGCACACACACACACACACGCACACATACATAACCTGCTCAACCTGCTATTACAGAACATTTGTATCATGACTGTTGTCCTCCAACATAAGCACAAAGTGCATATTGCTAATATTAGTGTTCACTGAGCCAGTAAGCTACAGCTCAGCCTATTTATAGTCAATAAGCTGTGTGTCTATTTACTGAAATCCAGTGAGTTTGTATCCTCAGTTCTCAGATTACAGGGCGTATAATTAAGTCACCAGTTTAGCTCTTTTCCATCTCAGATAGCAGGGGAAGTAGCTGAAAAGTTGAATAGTGATGAGGAACAAATGCAGAATCAGCAAGTTGCTTAAATTCAAGAAAATTCAAACCTTATCCAGTATCATCCATGATACTCACAGCTTTGGGTAGATCTCACTTAAATTCAGACATAAGGCTCAACAGACTGACTGTGGGTTCTGGCAAGTTTTCTTAAAACAGACCAAGAGAAGAGCCCAGTGGTAATGAGAGAAGCAGAACACAAAGAAAAGACAGGAGTCAGCTCATTTAATTACATTCATACAAGAAGCCTCATCTCTTTATGCCTTCTCTGCTGAATTTATTGAGATAGGGTAGCAAAATGCATTGTTGTAGCAGAACTGTTGCTCTCCTATTTACCATGTTGAATAGTCCAGTGTCAAAGTACAAATTGGGGAGAAGATAGACAGCAATGTACTGTAGCTGCTTGGCTTTACATATGTTAAATATGGCCATAAAATACCCACTGCAAAGATAATCATATGTCATAGATAATCATAATAATAATAAGTCTAACCCTATTTATGCACCTGCACTTCAGAAATCCCGCTTCAGCTAAGTACTCTTTTTAGGTAATAATAAAATATGATGTATATAGGTAAAATAAAAGCTGTCTATTCAAAATGACCTGCATGTGAAATCTGAAGTAAAAAAACAAAAGAGAAATGAATAGTTGTGTCAAAGAACCACCAGAAAGGGTCTGGGACTGATAGAACATGCACAATGCTAATGGTTATTGATGTAGTCCAGTACCATTTCCACACTATAATTAAAATGGCTCCATATTATTACATTTGTATGAAGGTTCTGTATATAGGTAATAGGTTAATGTCCCACTTTCTGGCTTTCAATACTCCTGCTTGGTTTGTGTAGTCGTAGTGAAACACACTGGGCCCAGAGATCAGTACAGGGCAGAAAAACTGACTGAGTTTAAACTTGGGGCTGTACAATCTCACTGTTGTCTCCGAGATCCACCACTTTACAGCACATGAGATCCGGTCCAGAGGTGCTACCCCCTAATTACACAACAATGTGATTCTATCGTCCAAGGGTTGGGAACTGTCACATTTAATATTTCCATTTGTATCACCATTTCAAACAAAGTTGCACTTCTATCTATCCAGACTTGTCAGCTACATGCAATTTTATTTTACATCAACAGGAAGCATATACAGGATTCTCCTTTGAAGAAATATATGATTATTGTGCTCATCATGTGGTTGATAAATATAGCCACTGGCAGGTACTCCTCCTGTTTCATAACGCTGAGAGTGAAGGCGGCTCAGTGTTTTAATAATGTTTGTTTTTTTGAAAAGAATACATTTCTCAAACAGTGACACTGCAGTAATCACTTAGATAATGACTGCACAATAAATGATCCATGTTATAAATCATTTAACCGGTTGAATGCCACAGTGTGCTCCCAATACCTTATCACAGAAGCTGTCTCTTCTTAGTTATAATTCTATAAATAATGATGAGGCAGGAGGTACATACATCGACTGTAAACCATTAGACTGCTGTGATTCTCCTAAAGGTATGTCTCATGCTGCTGCATAATGACAAGCTTCACCCAACACTAATTAAATTTGATATGTCTGTAAATATTTAATAATACAATTGTAGTTTTAATATTTCAGGACAATATAATTCTATATTGCCACTAAACATTTAATAGAGCAGAAGGAATAACACATTTGCAGTATGTTACTTCCATCAATGCTGCGTGTACGTGGAGACACTGAGAAAATTTACTTTTCCTCCCCTGCGTCACTCTTTAATGATCTTGCTCTCTTAACCCATTGCACACATGACTGCTTCTTATGATGGCAATCCAGAAACTGAAGCTCATTTTTACTACATAATGTATTTTTCTGAACTAGAGAGCCACCTGAGCTCCTGGAAAGTAAATGTAAAAATGTCTGCACACATGCACATATACAAGACTGTATGCGTTCATGCATGCAGGAAAATCTGTACATGCTCACGTGTACAATATGATGCATGCGTGTATTTGTCCACATGAAAAGTGTAATTTATCATCGATTGTTAGAGCTAAATGATTTGCTGGAACGCTAATAAAGATGAATATTCAATCCCAAAACACATTTTACACTCAATGTGTATGCATTATTTGGTCATTTTCTTTCTGAACAAGAAACTAAAGCTGCTGATTTTTCAGTGACACAGAGGTTGACATTTTGGGGTTATGGATTATATGATTGATATATTTTTCACGTTTTACATCAATTTGAGCTATATTCATCATTACATTTTTTAACAGTTTTGAGTAAAAAAAGCTGCCTGATCAGAGTATTAAGAAGGAATACTTAGTTTTAGATATTTTGGGACATCTGCAGATTTCAGGAAGTTGCTGCTCCAGGTCATGAAATAGTCCCCATAACCTCCTATAAAAGAGCTAATTGACGTTACATTTAGTTAGATATGACACTAATAATTAGTGAGCTTTAGAGGCACTGGTAGATGAACTCCATCTACCAGCGCCTCTTTGTACTAAGCTAAGCTAATGGCCTGCTGGCTTCATATTCATCATACTGACATAAGAGTGGTATAAGTCAAGAACATTCCCAAAAAAAATCAAACTATTCCTTTACAATTGTCCAAGCACAAAAAGAGGAGGAATTTGAACTACACTCACATTTTCAGTATAATGACACAAGCTTGTGCCAATGTATCACAGGGCTGTAGACACTGTGACAACAAATTCCCCTGGTCTACCATGTGACCCTACACTGTACAACCCAAATTCCTTTTTAATTTTAGCGTGTCCACAAAATCAATGTCCTATTCTCTGAAAGCAAGACTGGAACAAACTGAGTAGGTCAATGGGAAAAAAACTTGTCAATTCTACTTCTGGGTGAAGTTTCTTTTTAATTAGGAGATGTTTTGGGTTATTACTGGATGAGTTACAATCATCACCCATTCAACAATATTAACTATAATGTGAATACCCAGTTTTAAGAGAGATGACAGTGTGTGACCTGGGAAGTTGGGCCTGGGCTGATTTAAAAGATCTTACACTTCCTTCCATTCACTGTGAAAAGTGAATCTGCTTTTCAATTTCACCGTCAACGAAGCGTTGCCATGAAATATGCAATGCAATCACAGCTGAAATGCAAGCTGACTGTAATTGTTTTCAAGGCTGAGGCAAACAAAAGGCACTTTTCACAGCGCAGTGATTTGTTAATAATGAATAGCAAATTACCGTCTTTGCTCTTCATCAAATGGTCGGTGACAGCAGATGAGCGGCTGGTGTTGAAAGTAAATGGGATCTGTCGCGGAGAGAGAGAGAGAGAGAGAGAGAGAATACGCTGAGATTTAGTGGGATTCAGAGAAATAGAAAGACAGGCAGACATAGACGGAAAAAAGGTGGGAATGGATAGACTTCTTTTTGTTTTTATTAACCCTGAGTCATCCTGAGGAAAGATGCTGGATGAAAGTCCTCTGCACAGTCACAGTCAGCTCCACCCATGTGACCATCAGAGCTTTCATACTCATGTGCAGTCCATCAGGGAAGAGGCCTATTCTTCCTGCTGGCAGCTGATCTCTGTCTCAGCAGGGCTGTTAGGACATCAATAAGGTGAGATTTATTCACAGTGCACTGTCCTGTCTGAGCAGAGATTCCTGCAGAACATTTTGTGCATGTGGGGGATGATTTTGGGTGTGAGGTCTCAACAGAATACTGACTTTCGGGTCAATTTTTTGCATTTCCATGAACGTGCACTGTCACTAGTACATATAGTTAATAAGTTGTAATTACAAAAATCCTGATGCAGGTACATAAAAGCAAAAAAAAGATGTTGTCACAGAGGCTCAGTGGACATGTGAGAAGGGATATGTGACCACAGAGTTTAACAAAAGGGCTGTCAGGGGATGTCTGGACGTAAGTTGGTGAATCCATCATTTATTTATACAGCAGAATGGATCTTTAGAAGACCTTTATAATTACACCCAGTGGTATTTTATGAGCTTATTTCCTTTCCACTTCTGTGTTTGTAGTATTACTTCTGTCTGGTCTTTGAAATGTCAGCAAAACCCAAAGTGAAACTAACTTCTGGAAAATGTGGAGTCACTAACGGGACAACAAAGTCAGCACAGAAGCAGATTATTACACACACATACTACCGGTTGATGATTAAATTGTTGCTTTGGTAAACAGATCTAAAAAGGGACAAATAAATGATGTTACTCGCTTTCTGTAGAGCTCTTCACTCTGGTCTAACCTGCCCTTTTTAACAGCACAAATGAATGCTACACAAATGAATTCATCTGTATTTATAACAAACAAAAAAGTCAGGAGATGAAACGCTCTCAAGACCCATTCTTACACATCAATCCAGGAAATAAATGTATCATTACCAGACATACCAAAGCCGAACACTCTACACAGTCAGAAGCATTAAGAAAAGAGCTACTGACTGTCATCAACTCCATGCCCCCTCTTCCTCCTCTTCAGTCTCCACTCTCCATATCGCTTGTCTTTGTGTGCAAATCTCTGTGTGCACTTGTGTACTCAGTGGGTTGCGATTTTAATACCTGTCATAATGTCACACTTGCCCTATAAATGTCCAAGACTTTAAATTCTCTGATTTACAGTACAGCCAGACCAAACAAGACAAGGCAGATCTAGACCCACTGATCCACTGTTAGTATAGTATGGGAGACTACTGATGCAAATTGAGAAGAGGATTTAGGTTAGGAGCCGTGTGGGACCCCTAAAGGACGAGATTGAGAGAGTAGCTTTTTAAATGTATGAGAATGAATGTGAGAATTAATGGTCATTTATTTTTGTGTCAATTTTATAAAGAACAATGAAATGACCTGCTGTATTTAAAACTTTGGTGAATCTATGTCAAATAGAGCAGTTTGTTATACTATCTTTAAAGATTTTTGAGAATTTACGAAAATAAGTGCACAGACCTGCTTAGTTGTGATAATGCTCGAGAACTGGCAATAAAATATGTCTAGTTGGTCAGATTTTACATTCAAGAACTGCATTCACTAGTTTCTTTTAAGCACTTTACCATTGCCGAAATGGCCAGATAACATCATTACTAGACAATGACAGATGATACATTTTCCCTCTCTCAGAAGAGACCATCTGCAATGTGGCCTTAATATAATACAGTAAAGTCTGTAAAATACAGTAAACTGTGAGTCATCCTATCAGGCTGGATGTTTGCAGATGTCTTATGCAAAAGATGGTCAGTGATATGCAGTGAAAGTGTTGGAGGATATGAATGTTTGCTTAATGTTTGCAGCAGCTGATGTGAAGAATAGGAGAGGAAAACTAAATAATTGTTTCTGAAATAATATATTTAAAGATGTACTCATGAACTTCTTGCTTCCAGGTTGTGAGAAAGGGCACGGACAGATCTTATAGAGTGACCTCTTTTATGTGGGCAGGTCCTTGATATATAAGTAATCGTGATGTGGATCGGAGTGCTGGTGGAGAGTCCAGTGGAGTTTTTCTTGATCGTGTGCTTGTTGCAGCATTCAAAGTCCAAAGCAGAGAGACAAACTGTAAAGAAAACAAACCCAGTCTTGACACAACATGTATATAGCACACGCACACAACACAGTATTATGTTTATTTATTCTTTTCAGAACATCAAAGCAAGTTCTCTTATGGAAATGTATGCACAGTGAACTTCAAATAGGTTTAAATAATGTATTTATATTTTTTAATACTTTACTTTCAAATCTAAAAATATATGTAAATTTGGTATTAAAGAGATTAACTATTTTCACCTCCTCTCTTTTTCTCTCTCAAACATGCCTTCTATGCAAAAGTCTGACTAAAGAGCAATTTCCAGAATAAAATGGACTCACACATACATGTGTCAAAACATGTATTTTATTCATTTATCTTAAAAAATTAAAATAAAGTGCCTTTTATGTACAATATAATAAAAACAACAGTCACAATCTCAATGATACAAAAAATACAGTTCACAATGTTATTTGTACACAACAAATAAAAAAGAAATCATGCAGGCAAGACCACATTTGTCTAATAGTTATTCAGTCAAATAAGCTTATGGTGTTTAGTATGCTGAGGCAAAGCTGTTGCTGTGTCTCATGGCTGATATGGAGGATTTGAAGCTGTGCTTGCATCTTACTGCAGTACTACACTGTGCAGCACAAATGATTCATTACGTCTATTGTGCCGCTTACTTGTAGTATATACCTTTCAACAAAATCCTGAAAAGATGTTGCGATGGATTGCTTAAGCCGTTTTAGGAAAATAGACTGCTGTAGATATTCTACAAAATGTGATATAGTTGGCTACATTCATGTCCAGTACAGTATGTTGCATTATTGAGGAGCCACTCAAAATGAAGCATCAATCACCATGGTAGTATCTGCTTTTTGATGAAAAGCACGTCATTAATAAATATGCATTCATGACACAGTATTGACCTTTTTGGCATTGTTAACTATTAAGGTCAGATGTAACTTCAGCTGTTCTATATGAGATTAGGAAGGATTACTACTGTTAAATATTGGCCTGGTCAGAAAGATGTTTCCTATGCGCACAGTATCACTTTTGACACAAGCAAACACCGCAGAATGGTACGAGATTTTGAGCAGCTCCTAGTCTTACTGTTTGCAGGTAAAGTTAATGGTGGCTTGGGTGAATCTGTAAATCTACTGTTGACCCGTGTTGTGTCGTGGAGTTAAGTGTGCCCACGGAGGGCTACAATCAGGCCATTCACCACGTTCCAGTTGGTGAGGTCCCTGCTGGGTGGTATAAGATGTGGCACATGGCTAAAGGCAGAACAATATATCTAAAAGGCATTTGGAAAATATGTTGTGAGGTTTTCCACCAAGCATCTCAAAGCAGGGTACCTGTTTTATGGTTTTAGAAAATAAGCTGTGGTGACAAACATTGTTCTTCACCACGGCTTTTAGAATCTGATTATTCTTGTTGCATATTTGTTGGCAAATGTTATCTCTGGTTTATTTTGTCAGTCTCAGTTTGCAAGTAAGCAAACAAGGCTAAAGAAACAGGTAGAACTGTGGGGAAATAAAATGTGTTGTTTTCTTGTCGAGAGTTAGATGCAAAGATTGATACCACTGTCATGGTTTTAAGGGGGAGGGCAGTGACTTCCTGGAGTCACTGCTGGTTTGTTACCTTTGGCCAGAGCCAGGCAAGCTGTTTCTCCATTTCTAGTCTTCATGCTAAGCTAAGTTAAACGGCCACTGGTGCTGGCTTCATATTCAGCATGCAGACATAACAGCGGTATCGATCTTATTGTCCAACTCTCGTCCAGAAAGTGAATTAGCCCATTTCATCCATACCTGTTTGATTCAGTATGGCATGAATATAAAAACAGATGACCTCTCCTGCTTTGACATGCTCGATAAAAACCAGCCCAGGTGCTGAACTAACAGCGTGGTGAGAAATGTGCAGTATTCTGTGCAAGTCTGTTGAAATGTATGCTGAAGTAGGCAGTAAAGCACTATGAAAACAAAATATCAGCAGTGTTCACTCTCTAGTTTCAAGACTATCTCTACAACACATCTTGCACAAGGTCCCTTAAAAACACACAATATTAAGCACAGATACTGTATATACACAACAAAAACGTAAGAAAAAAGTAAAACACTGACCACTGCTGCGCAGTATGCTGTGCAATTACTTTGTCAACTTGTAGCAGTTACATAGCATTTCGTCATCCGCTCAGTGTTCGAAATAGCAAAAATGTTTATCTTGTATGATACTGGAATATATACTGTAGGCTTACTTGATCAATACAGTGAACTGGTTATGTATTCTAAGACATGTGGTGCCATATTGTCCCTATGGCCGTGTAAATGTTTCTTGTTCGGATTTACACAACACTATCGGCTTCCTACATCTTTGGAAAATTCTGCTTGTTAAGTCTCAAAAGTCTCTAAGCAATGTGGGTGCAAGAGTGTTTGTGATGGCTGCACTGGTCCCTGTAATTACTGATTTCTATAAATCATTGTCCTTAGCAGCCATACCTTTCTGTCTCTCAGTAGTTGCATTTATTAGAAGTTGCTCCAATTTTACTGGCATGTGCAAACCTGTAAGTATTCAAGACCCTGATTACTTGTGCTTTCACATTAACGTCGCCTTGACATCTGACTGAGTGTGGTGAATGCCATGTTTGAAATGTAACTTGTTGGGGGATCTTATATTATATAATATAGCGCTTTGTGTACTACATCACTACATAGTGCAGCAAGAGACCACTAAATATTATCCCTTCACTACAGTGACAGTTGTTTACTCGTTGTTCTGTGACTTTAATTAACCAAACACTTTGTACTGTTAGTGCTAGTCAAGCTCTATAGTCAAACTGGTTGTACCTGTATGTTTCAGTGTATGCTAACAAGGCAAATGACTCCTTTGAGGGTAGCTGAAGGAAAACCGGAATATTTTCTCACAACCACAAGACAAGTTTTAACATGAAGTAATCTCCATGCCATATCATTTGGCCCCAGTTCAGATTTGACATTAAAGTCAATCATTTTGCCCAACAGTCTGAAATGTTCGCTATGAGCTAACAGTCTTAGAGAAATTCCCAACCTTGCACTTCACATTTATTTATTATTAGTGCCGCTTTACTTTTTTCGAAACCCAACTCTGGTTCCGTCACCATGTGCTCTTCGACAGTGATCAATGCTAACACAAAGCATGGGAGTGGTCATAACAGAATGGCACTATTGCATTTAGAGAAGACAATCAAGTTATTTCTGTTTTTTTTGGCACGATGCACATGATGATTTCAGTGCCGCCCTGAACATGGTAGAGGTGTGGCCGTCGGCTTTTTTTTCTTGGCTCTCTGTGTTTTAATGTCAGGTCTCTTTTCCATATTTGCCTCAAAAAACAGGTTATCTGTGTCAATTTATGAGCCCATCATGGTCCCTCCAGGTCAACACTGAAGAACAGGGCTGTCACCGATGAGCAGAGATGCAGAGCAACGGGTTCCATAAATTGTCCATGGTGCAGTGATGTGTGAATGAAACAGACCTTCTTTGAACAACAATAACAACAACGTACATTCAGGAGGTGAATGCCAGTATTTAGGCCCTGGAGAACAATTTATGATCAAAACATTTTCATCATCTTATGTCGCAGTCCTTCTAATTGCTGTTTGTTAAGAGGGCTCTCTATTGTTCACCTTTTAAGGTGTGGCGTATTCTCCTGCCTCCTCTTTCATCATCTTTATCATTTTACAGTCATAACATTTATTTCAGCAAAAGGGAACAAATGTGCTTCTGACTTGCTTCCATAATGTGTGGATCATAATGAACAGGCAACACATGGATTATACTCTCCTAAACCTGAACTCTTGGACACCATGTAGCTGTAGCTTGGTTCTAATGTGCATAATTACAGAAGTTTAGACTTTGTGGCAGCCATCTTCTGCAGATCATGTTTACACATCCTCAAATAGGGCTGGGCAACATAAATATTAATTGTTTATTTTTTCTATTATACCACGTGATGGAGATCAAAACGATAATTTAATGTTGGAATCTTGAATACCTTAAGAGATGTTGTGATAAATACTGATATCAGAAGAAGATCTTCTGTTTACTTTGTTATTTTCTTCCCCATATTGCCCAGCCCTACACTCATGCACATTAGTGGCCATGAGAACGACTCAAACAAAGACTGTGTTATAACTATCCTTAGCAGCTGCCACGGTTTGTGATCCTGGTTGAAACTGGAGTGTTGTGCTGCTTCGTCTTCCTGCCCTATGCAGCAAACCGGACCAACCTCTAGCTTCGGAGTGGAAATGGTTAAAAGAAATGACCTCCGCACTGATCACAGTACAAAGATGACTAAAATAAAAGATGTGCTGTGATGTAGAAGGATGTCGGGGTCTCCTCTCCTTTGCTCGGTGGCCTGTATCCTTCATGGAGATACAGGGTGACATTCTTTAAGTGGATACTGTGCTCTCATACAATAGAGTCTTTGATCTCCGAGCCTAGCCTCACTCTGGGTCGAGGGCAGGTTGGGGAGTACTCCACGTGGCTCTCCTTCAAGTTAAGCGGCCGCCTGTCGGAGGACTCGGAGAAGCTCTTGCTGTTGTCTGGCGAGGACTCGTGGGTGGGTGTGCTGCAGATGTAGTTGTCATTTAATGTCTGGTAGCCCTTGTGATCAGAAGTGGAAACAGGGATGGTGTTACCGTTTAGGGGTAAGCTCTCTGCAGGCTTTCCCACTATCCTCGGCTTCTTCTGCTGCATGTTAGGACACTCTCCCTGCTTCAGCATGGACTTCATATGATCTCGGTTTCTGTAGATGACGAACAAGGAGAACACCACGAGGGAGAACGCCAACAGGGCGCACACAACAATCAGCTCGTTCCAATACGTCTTCGTGTGTACCTGCTCAGAACGGGACTCGCCAGGCAGGATGATGGTCTCCTCTTGCTCGATGTGCGGTGTGCGTGAGTGACCAATCTGAGTGGTGCTTTCCTGGCGGGGCTCCGCCCTCACACAGTAGTTGGCCAACAGCTGGCGGAAACCTTCCTCTTCTGACCAGCACTCATAGGTCTCGATCCTGTCGGACTGAGCCACAACCACCAAATTTCCCTTAGGAGTAGCGTAGAGGAACTGGCTGGCGCTGTCACTGTAACGCCACCTTCTCTGTGCCAGATTAGAGCGCAGTTTACAGGGCAGGACCCTGAATGTGTTGGCAGGGATTGTAATGAGCTGGCAATGGGAGCCTATTAAAAAAAAACAACACAATAAGAACAATATTGCTTCAAAACACTTGAAGATTCCATTCAAGGAATATTTTACTAATTGTACTACTATTAACTTAAAGGACTAGTTCAATATTATGAGAATACGGACACCACTCTCACATCTATTTGTTGAATATGAAGCTACAGCCAGCAAATGGTTAACCAGCCTAGGACAAAGACTCAAAACTGGGAAAACAGCTAGCCTTGCTCTGTCCAGAGTTAGCAAAAAACAGTGAATATTGTGCAATGTTGAATTCAAACTATAATATATATGAATGACTCCCTAGTTTCCTGACATCATAACAATCTGCAACAACATGTGACATCTTCTCTGACATGTCTATGCGCATGTTGTTGTGGTGTCCATGAAGTAAATGAGTTTAATCAAAGACCCCAATACACAGAGAACACACTCACGAGAAGCTGCTGGTCTGGCAGATCTGGTGCTGGGAAACGTCCTGTTACAAATCGCTGATGTATCGGCCTCCTCCACATCCTGCTGCCAGTGACTGAGTCAAAACATACCAAACAAAACAACAGGGTGAGCAGCTGTAATGAGAGGCACCTTGCATGGATGCACCCATTTCTCCCTCCAAGCCTTTCATTTACAACCTTTGAGTGTAGCTTCATCAGTATGACAAAGAGAACAGTTGTCTTTTAAAAGCTACTTCTTCAAAAACACATGACTATGAGCTTTGCATGCTCACTTTATGAGTCTGTTTGGGTGTTCACATCTAACAAAAACATCACATGTATCTAAAGTCTTTTAAGGTGAAGTAACACGATTTCTCAATCCAGCATATAGTCCTGTTCTTTACTGTGTAAGCACATTGAGTCTCAGGACAGAACCACTTGTACAAACAGATGCAAGTGGATTGAAAGAATTTAAGGCATTCACAAATTTTCTATATTTAAAATTTTTCCTATTCACAAACAAAATTCACAAGTTGTGGTTTATTTCTCAGGGACACTGCATATTAATAAAATATAAATGCCAGGATTAGCCAAGAAGCTAATTTTATAGCATTTATAATCCCTGGCCAGGTGTAAAAGTTGGCAGTATAAAATAAAGAAACAAGTTTAAAACAATGTTTGCAATGTTAATTACAGTAAAGGCAGGGGCAACAATAAAAGTAGAGTACATTACAGCTCAACAAAGCAAAAAAACAAACAAACAGAAGCAAGGATGAACACGAGCAACAGACTAACAAAACAGCTTCGCAACAGACGTAAGCAAAGACTGAGCAAAGAGCAACGACGCATGAGAAACAGGACAACAGTAGGTGTGGTTCAGACCTCTCATATGAGCCATGTACAGATAATCTACCTCTCTACATAGGAGACATCTATTTGTACGTATGTATTTAAAGTGTTAATGTCAACCTTTTTGAAAGCAATAAAGCAAATCAAATCTATCAAGGTGGATTAATGAACAAATACTGCCGTACTGACTGTGAGCTACGGTAGATGAACCACTTCAAATGTTTTGGAACAGTTGAGGAATTTGTGACCCTGTGTATGTGATCTCTCACCTGTCAGGTGGAGCCATCCTGACATCCCGACACAGCCGCCCAGTCCAGGCGCAGTAGGGGTCTCTGGACAACACACACTCTCCACAGCTCAGGTAGTTGGAGCAGTTGGCCACAGGAACCTCCACCAGCCCCGAGTTAGATGACACAAACAACAGACCCTGCAGGAGAGAAAACAAACTTGTGAGATACAGATCTCTCACTAAAAGGTGAATGCAGGGCAGAACAGAACTTCTGCTTTTGGTTACGGATTTTTGATTTCAGAAAGGAAAACCATGCTAAAACAATTACTTAAGATAAACAGAAGAATATAACCTAAACAAAGCACTAACTATGACCAGCTGTTAATCTTACTTGGTGCCAGCCAAGTAACTTGATTGTGCTCAAAAACACATGGCAACAAGTGGCTGCTACACAGCATCGTCTTAAATTTTTGTTATTATTCTGTACTTTCAACACTTTTCAGACGGTACGTATCATTGTGTAGGAGCACTGTTATCCAGAAATTCATTTTCACCACGAATGTGACGTTGATATTGATATACAGCACATCCCTGTGTTCTCAAAAGCACTGTCTATATTTAGTCCATCTTATCCGCCGTGATATTAGACAGACATCATGTGGATTCTGTCTTTCATATCCCTATTTGGAGCTAAGAACATACTCACAAAAAGTATGTTGGACTTAGAATTACATAATCTTAGATAAGATTGCTGTTTGGCTGCTTTTGCCCGGGGAGAGGCCATTATGTAATAAAGAGAGAAAGGTAATGAAATTTAGCTCCGGGTATAATGCCAGAGAGGATCATAAACTCAGTTCCAGACGGTGCTATAACTTACAGGAAAACTCAATGGAATGGCCACTGCGGAAAGAAAATGTCAGTAACCAGTCTGCGCTCTGGTAAATTTAGCTCTTCCACAGTTTTATTACTCTAAAATGAATTTGAGTATAAAATGAGTAAACATTAAATATAAACTGACACAAACCAGTGTGACAATAGTCATTATAGATGTGTATTATGATGACAGAGCTGTGATTTACCCGCTGAGGATCCAGTTCGATGTGCTGCACAGGCTGAGGCTCAGGAAACAGAATCATCTCCTCTATGATGTGCATTTTATCATTGGCATTGATGGCCTTATGAAGCTTTCCATCATCTGGAAGACACAGAGGATGAGTGGAAGTGACTTGCACTGAAGGAAGTTGACAGTTTGTGAGGGGATATAAGCAACCTCTACAGGTGTACAATCACAACTTAACTATGGAAATGAACCCATAAAAGTCTGCTGTACCTGTTCCAATAAAGAGCACGTCATACGCCCTCTCCATGCCTTGGATCTTGTGTACAGCAATCTGTGTGTAGCGAACACTGCGTTTCAGAAGCAGGGGAGCGCTGCGGATCACGCTGTCCATCAGGAAATGGTCCTTGACAAAGTTGAGCACTTTATCGGGCATGTGCAAGGACGACTGGATACCCATTTGCCTGGCGTGGTTGGTCACGCACTGTCGGGGAGTAAATTAGAAATGAAAAATGAATCTCTTGTTCATCCTGGAAATACAAACATACAATGAGAATGTATGTAGAACTATGACCCTAGCTTTACTTATGAAGAGCATGACGTTTTGGGGTGAGGTATCATTGGAAACAACGACATGGCGGTTTACAATAGCAGACCAGAAGTTTTTTACCAGGGAATATCTACTTGTTTTAAGTTTTTAGGCATTTGTTTTGCTCCAGGGACTGATGGAGAGCCAAGCTGAATATCAGCAAGACAGTACTTTTGGATTCTGTCATCAGGCAAAGAAAATAAAAGGAGAACATCTGCTTTACATCAGGCTTACTTGTTGAACAGGCCAAAAATTAGTCTAGAGGTACAACTGGGTATGTTTGGTTAGATACTGCAATATACATTATTTGTAAGTGTGATAACAAGATAAAAAAAACCATCTATTCATTTTATCTGTGTTTTCTGACTGAACAGATCTAATTGAATGAAAAGATACACAAGACTGAACCAAGAGAGGTTGAACTGTATTGTTTGTCGCAGGGCACTGCCTGCACCACTCACCGCCCCGGGCCGTGGTTCTGGCACTGGGTGGTTGTAGGTGTACCACTGCTGTGTCTCCCTGTTGACCTCTCGGTAGCGCCCGCTGAAGGCTCTTTCCACCTGTGCCATGGTGAAAGCGCACACCGCTGAGCTGCCTGATGCTCCTTTATACCTGTGAACACAAACAACACGTTTTCCCTGTTTGAATCTGTGTGTTATGCTTGCATGCAACTACAGCCTCCATACATCTTTGCCGCGTAAAAATTAAGCCATTTAATTTCAGTCTCACACTGGCATCCATTTTCTTGCAGCTTGTTACAGCATGTTTTTACCTCATCCATCCTTTCTGTAGCAGTTTTCTAACTGGAGAACAGTTGTAGAGTGGGCACTTGAATGATTTCCATATTAAAACCTTTATTTTGTTGATACATTAATTAGACATTGGGGTTGCATGAGCTTGTGTTAGTGTTTAAGCTCATTACAGCTGCTCTAAATTCAGAGGAGCCAAGGAAGAAAAGGCAACTTGCCAAGTTTGAGTGAAGATATTAAATAAAAACTGGCTCAAGATGGTGTGTGTGAGCCGTGTAGATTTAAGTGTGTGTGTGTATAAACATAAACTGTTACATAAATCAGATTCATTAAAGTGCTTGTGTGTCTCAGTTATGTATGTCTCCATTCGTCACTTACCACTGGGAGGTGAAGACGCCATAGAAGACGGTGCTCTCCCAGCTGTCTCCCATGGGCTTCAGGACAAACATGTCCTGGATAATGTTAAAGGGGAAGCCGTCATCAGGGAGGGAGCACAGGAGCTGGGCCTTCAGGAAGGTGGTCCATTTCTTCTGCAGCACCCGCTCACCACCTTTATCACCCTGCAAACAGTTCAAGTACGTTACAGTATGTTACAGAAGACTTTATGCCTCATTTAACAATTGTTTACACAGGTTTGATTGTTGGAGCATGCGTAGTTCTTTGAGACAACACCCTGGTTAGAGTTATCCTGAAAAGGAAGAACAGGACCCAAAAGGGACAGGACCAGACACACAGCTAAAGAAGTTGTGTCCCCCAAGTTGTGTCTTCTACTATTGCAGTAAGTGTCATTAGAGCAGACATGAACAACAATTCTGGAGGTGGAGGGGAAACATTATTAGAAGAAAGCAACCAAGTTAGAGCAGGGGAGTATATATTAACTTAAAGGTAATTTAATCTACAAATTATTATAATAGACCACAAATAGTCAGATATGGTTTTATTATTTAAAAATGTATTCTTAAAATAACATCAGAATGAGTAAATATGCAAATATTTTTCATGTTTAAAGCTGCAGTAGGTAATTTTTATAAAAATAACTTTTTGTTGTGTTTGTTGAATCTTCCACTATATCTTAACAGTAGTACATATGACAGATATGGACAAGTAATCACAAATAACCAGGATTTAAATGTTCTGAGGCAACTCCAGGCCTTTATATCTTTTCCTGTGGTACAGCATATGTGTTGTGCATTTATACAGAATTTCAAAGGATATTTTGACAAAAAAATCTCATAAAAGATGCCTTAGCACCAAATATCAGTTGCTCTTTGAAGGAGAGGAGATGGTGAAATGAAAAACAAACAATGGTTAGTTATTAATTACAGCTTTGAAATCCACATCAGTGGTTCGCGTCTCACTCCGCCTTTAAGATACAGAGACAGCGGTCACAAAATATTCACCTAAACAGTTATCAGACAACTTTGTTACGACTAGCAATTATCAAAGACTTTGTAAAAACACACACCAAAAGAAACTCCCCCCAAATACATCTAGCAAGCTGGAAAACACAGGCGGTGGAGGAGGTGGAGGAGGGGGAGGAGGAAGAGGAGGAGGTGGAGGAAGAATACGACCAAAACAAGTGGTCTCGCCCAATCTCAAGACAGCTTTCCTGCCTCAGATCCAAACTATCCCGTCAGCAGGGCCTCCAAAACCCTGAACAACTTGTACATAACAGCACGAGGAGTGAATCCCCCTTGAGGAGATAATAAAATGCTAAACTATAACTACCTCTATTTCCTCCTCTGTGTGCTGCTACACAAACAAGCACAATGCTCAATCGTGAGGTGAAACCTCATGGGACTGATGCAGGGCCTGAGAGCCAATTACTAGGCTGTGGTAGTAGCCTGTCCACATAATGAGGAGACCACATTCCTGCTCTCTCAGCTGTCCACCGATGTTGTTGCTGCGCTCCGCTGCGCAGCTTGTACTTTCAATCGCATCGACCACTCCCCCCTCCGATAGCTACCCTCCAAAAATATACTCCCTCCTATGCGCTGTTTTACGCTGCCATCACATTTTATCTGAACTTCACATTTCGGATTCCTCACGTTTGTCAAACGGAGAAGTTGTTGAACAAGAAGTAAGGAAAATGGTGCCAAACAACGTTCATAATCTGCCTGCTTTCCACAGTTCCTCAGTGAGCACACCTGAATAAACAACTGAAAAAGAGGGAGTGGAAGAGGGGAGGGGGACAGATAGGAAAGAGGGGGAGAAAAAAACAACTCGGAAGCAGAATTACTTGGCAAACCCAAGTAAAACAGTAGTTAGAACCTCATGAAAAAAGCTAAAGAGGCTTTGATTTATCTTATCTTACGAGAAACATGTCCTCTTTATATGGTAGCAAAATGTCTGCCAAGATGGAGGAACACATCCATTTCAAATATTGAAATAAAGCCACATATTTGGCCTCGGCCTGGTACCCAGAATGTATGCTTTCTGTCAGTCTGCAAAAAAGTGTGTTAAAGATACTGAGCATGCTAACAGGGAGGGGCCTTCATACCTCGCTGTTACCTAACTCTAATCTGAGTTCAGCACTTTCTGCTCACCAAAGGAGTACACAGGGCATGTGTTCAGATGTGAGAAACTATCCTGAGCAAACCAAAGGTTTATATGAATATGGTAATAGTTTAGTAAGTTAGCCTGCAGCAATTCAGGGGCTGGTTTCTCAAAAAGATACTGGTCTGTTAGTGGTAGGCCAGTCTTGATTCAGCTGTCTAATGCAGAATTCTTCCAACTGTGTGGGAGGCTTGGGAGAGTTTCTGTGGGGGATGTGAGGTAAAGACACTGTGAGAGGTGGACAGGTGCATGCCGATGTCCTGGAAACCACAGGAAGTTAGTTATTGTGGTTTGGCCCGCTCACTAAAACGGTGAACAGTAGCAGCAGCAGTGACACACAGGCTCATGGAGGCAATTACGGCACTTGAAAACCCTTTCGACCTGATTGCCGCAATTTGTGTCACAATCGCACTGCTTCTCGGAGTAATAACTCTAAAACACACAGACACGATGTGCATATTTTTAGATTCAGTGTGACACTTTCCTATGATGTCCATTTCACATAAACCTACATATATTTTACTCATAAAAAGACACTCATAACTCAAGAACTTGATTAAGAATCATCAAATTTGTCAATATTCTTCAGTATTGAAGTAATCCAGTGACAGCTGTCTGCACATCCATAATTTAAATATATATATATGTTAAAAAAAACAACCAAAAAATGGGTCTTAAGTTAAAGCCTAACTCACTGAATCCATGGCAACATTAGACTTCCTGTTAACATCCTGCAAAGAATTATAGGAACTGTAATATAGAAGCTGGCGGTGACGTACAGTTGTCTCAATATTGTGTGTGTGTTTCAGACCTCTGGTATAATGTGAGTTTCCCCAAAATAAATTATAGTAGTAGTATAAAGTATAGTAAATAAATTATTTTATGTCTTAAAAGTTAGCCACCCTAACCCCCAGGCTAACTCTGAACTAAGAGCCATGTTTCCATAGCAACAATCAGTGACACATACTTTTTTTTTCACTGAATTTTCACAGTAAAATGTCCCTGCAAATGTTGAATTTTCTGCTCGAGTGAGGGGAGCTAAGCGGCTTGGTGCAGCTGCTCGGTCAGCCATGTTTTTTAAATTTGAAAAAAGTCTTTATTTACCCAGATTCATAACAGACAGTCAAGAACTAGATGGCTTTGTACAACATATGAATTTAGACATCTATCTGAAGTCTGATGATTAGTTCAACCCAAAGCATTTCTTTTAGTAGAAACTGGACATTTTTATGTTGATGTTCTTAAGCATTTACCCAGTACACTGCAGAATAAACCACCTGCATCACTACTGTACTGCCACAAAACATCATCTGAAAAGATGTCAGTCGGGGGAAAACGAAGGCTGCTGCATTCCAGTGAAATAAAGGAGCTTTATAGAGCAGAGAGAGCCATTCTTCTGTCTCTATTGCACAGTTCATCTGCAGCAAGTTGCCACAGTCTGGGGGCCTTTCTGTCAATGATTTCCATATATAGAACCCAGGAGCTGCTCCGCCGGCTTCGAGAGGTGTCGCAGCACTGAGTGCCAGAGCCTAGCAGGACTAAGTCATTAAGCTGTCACTTAAGATTACATGCTGTCCCCATGATTACTCACATTACTGCCTCCATCAACAAGAGGCATCAGTCAGGAAGGGATGCTGAGTGCATGTATATCAGGCAGCTTCATAGCCGTTTAATTGATCTGATGACAGGTGAAAAGGGATAAAGTCTGGTGTTGATTATTCAGGGTGACCAAACTTAACTCTCGACGAGGGAGGAGGGGGATGACGTCGATGGGTTTAAACGATGCGAGTGAATTCTGCAGTTGCTACAGTTTGCATGCTTTGCCTGCAACAAAAACAGGCCATATAGTAGAGTGGAAAAAGCATTTCATATTGCTGCGAAGCACCCCTGAATACTAATAATGCCTGCAAAGCTCAAAGCGCTGGTGGAGAAAGGCAAAGAGCTGGAGGGATGGACGAGTGCAGCTGACATTGTGAGGGAGATGGAAGGAGAGGGGGAGATGACATTGCAGAGAAAAGGGAGGGAGGGCGGCGTGGTGAGGAGGAGAGGATGATTCAGGCAAGTGGAAACCAAATCTGTTGAAAACATGTTTGCACAGTCAAACCGAAAAAGCTTTAACGCGCCAGTGACACATTTCCATTGCGTCTACACAGGCACAGTACAGTTAAATGTTACCAAACGTGCTTTGACACGGGAGCGCCCCGCCTTGTTTTGAGGTAATTGTATCAAGATTATTAAGGATTATTGAGACAAAACTTCAACCCTGCCGTGCGTCTTATTCTCGCACACAGCCGTCTTGTGTAATGACTTCACCGCCGCAACTCCATTTGTCTTACCTTACACACGCGAGCAATCCTCGACACAATGGTGTTGTCAAAGAAGTCGAATTCTTTTCCCGCCTCGCTAAAGAAGAAGTAAATCTTGTCGTCGTCTCCCACGGGGTTGCCGATTGGCTGACTCTCCTCAATGTAAGCCGACCCCACAAAGACAGGATCTGGTAAAAATAGAAAAACACAAAAGTAAACGTGGTTAGAGAGACATGTTATACCTTTATCTTCTACACATGAGAACTGTTTTTTCAGCCGTTTCATCACTTCTGTACAATCGTAAATTTAGAAAGAAGTCAGAGATCACACAGGGAAGCTGTGTTTTGAAGTGCATGTGCAGCGACTGATAGGACCGAGCTCCTACAATCTAAGAGAGCCTTGC